GTAACAAGGAAACTAACACAAGGACAAGATAGAGAATAAGGAAGAACCCTGAGAACTCTGTGTGTATGTTGCTATATTGAAGGTGGAGCATGGAAATAGAGCTATCCCATGATATCATGACTATCCAATGAAATCATGACAAGTAGTTCTGGAAAAGGGTGTAAAAGTAACACTGTGTATTCAATAAATTGAAGAAGTTTGCTTTATCAATCACATTGATTTTGGACTGCTTGCTTCCCTCACCGCCGTTACACAACGGGCTCTTATTGAGTTACAGATCAGCTGGTAAGAGTTACAACTAGATGTTTGTCATAAGCTTATAATAGGTGCCATAAGTAACCCTAAACTGCAAAAGAGAAAGATCAGTAAAGGAAATAAGGAGTTAAAGGAAAATCACTACCCAGTTTCAGCAGCGTCCTGGGGTCCTGGTGGTCTGGTAGTAGAGGGAGGGGGCGGAGGTCTGGTCCTTCTAGTCTGGAGACTGACACTCTTATACAGGTAATTTCCTGGGCTACACCACAGTGGTTACCCAGTCAGTGTTCCACATGTGCAGTCGTTACCATCTCCTGCATTCCTTTGGTCCAGTTATCCCTACAGACCTCAAGTCTTTTCTGCAAAGTTGATGATTTACATGAAGACACTCTCTGATCCTCTAGATTAACTCAAGGCCTGTTTATCAACCCTTGCTCGGGCTGGCTGAGGCACCAATGATGTGGCTCTTTGTTTACAACCTCAGCACATCCCACACCAACCTTCCCTGTTGGCATTTGCCATGTTGATACATCTCAGGGTAAAACGGGTTTGGTGGATTGTTGAGACATCTCTATTCCAGCAATAAACCCTGCTCTAGATAGATGCAATAGATCCTAACTCTTTGATGTCTCAAGACAACCACCAGACACCCTGAGTGTCTGAACACACTGTTTATCTCTTGGATTGTTCAAGACAAGCACCATATATCCTGTGTCACAAGAGCACACCCATCCAAGCCATGAGCAGCCAGTTTCTCCAGGACAATAGTGTGGGAAATGGTTTTACTAAGAGCCAGGTAAACAACATCCACAGCCTTTCCCTCATCCACTAGTCACCCTGTCATGGAAGATCAGGTTGGTCAAGCAGGACTTGCCCTTCATAACCCATGCTCACTGGGCCTGATCACCTGCTTGTCCTGCTGCATAATGGCACTGAAGATGTTCTGCTCCATAACCTTCCTCAGCCCCAAGGTCAGACTGACAGGACTGTAGTTCCCTGGATTCTCCTTTTGACCCTCCTTGCAGATAGGGTCACATTGGCCAATTTTCAGTCTATTGGAACCTCCCTCGTTAGCCAGGACTGTTAGTATATGATGGGAAGTGGCTTGGTGAGCACTTCTGCCAGCTCCTTGTCTGCTTGGGTGGATCCCATCCAGCCCCATAAATGATGCAGCAGGTCACTAACCATTTCCCCTTGGATCATGGGAGCTCCATTCTGCTCCCTGTCCCTGACCTCCAGCCCAGGGGACTGGGCATCCGGGGGACTGGGCACCCAGCAAACAACTGAACCTACTACTAAAGGCTGAGGTGAACAAGTCTGAGGTGAACCTCAGACTTTTCCCCGTCTTTGCTCACTGTTCCCCCCTGCATTCAATACAGGACAGAGATTCTCCTTAGTCCTCCTTTTGTGACTAATATATTTGTAGAAACATTTCTTGGTATCTTTCACAGCTGCAGGCAGATTAATTTCAAGTTTGGCTTTGGACCCTCTCATTTTCTCCCTGCATAGTTCTCCTGAGCTCCCTGCCCCTTTTTACAAAGGCCATAAACTCTCCTGTTTAACCTGAGTTGCAGCCTGATCTCTATTCAGCCAGGCCAGTCATCTTCCCCACTCTGTTGATAATTTCATGACCCTTATGGTCTCCAACCATCACATCTCCCACTAGTCCTCCACTGGTCACAAGCAGCAGGCCCAGCAGGGCACCTTCCCTAGTCCTTCACTCACCAGCTGTGCCAGAGATCTCTATTCCACACACTCTAGGAACCCCCAGGACTGTTTCCTCTCTGATGGATTTTGTTTTCAGCAAACACCTGGGAAGTTGAAGTTCCACATGAGATCAAGGACAAGTGAGAGTGAGATTTCTCCCAGCTGCTCATAGGTTACTTCATCTGCCGCTTTATCCTGGTTGGGTGTCCTGTCCTACAACAGACTCCCACCATGATGTCTGCCTTGTTGGCCTTCCCCCTGATTCTCACCCATAAACACTCAAGCCAGTTGTCACCTTCATTAGCTTGTTCTGGTTTGGTTAGTTGGGTTTTTTGGTAGGGGGGAAAAGACCCCAGGGGTGGCTCCAAGAAGCTGAGACACTTCACGTGCTCCAAACCAGCCAAGGAGCCATTAGGACAATAGATGAACCTCTGCCATGAACATACAGCAGAACAGCTATAACACCTGAGCAGAGGGGCACCTGGGGGGAGGAGCTGTGCAGCAGGAGGAGAGTGGTGCTGGTGGTTGGTGAGGAAGGAGGGGAAGAAGGTGCCCAAGCAGAAGTTTCCCTGCAGCCCATGGCGAGATGGCAGCTGTGCCCCTGCGTTCATGGAGAAACGCGGTGGAACATTCCCGGAAGGCACCAGGAGGGGTGAACTTGGCCACTGGACTTGGATGATGCAGCTGTGGAAGCCCCCGGGCCAGGGGAGGTGCCTGTTCCCAAAGCCCCCGTGACTCTGCGGGCAGCGCTGGAGCAGCTCCGGGCTGGTGGGAAGGGCTCCTGGAGGAGAGGCTGGGGGAGGATGTGCCATGGGAGGGACCCGTGGGGAAGCAGGGCAGGAATCCTTCTCCCTGAGGAGGAAGGAGCAGCAGGAACCGCCAGGCTGTGCAGTGACTCTAAACCCCATCCCCATCCCCCTGTGCCGCTGGGGGGAAGGAGGGAGAGAAACCAGGAACAAAGGGATTTGGGCCCGGGAAGAAGGGAGGGGGAATAACATGTGTGAGCCCTGCTCTGGGGGTGTCTGTGTCCTGTGGGCATTGATTAGTGTGAAATTAAATTATTGTTGTTCCCCAAGTTGAGTTTGTTTTGCCTGGGAACTCTCCTTGTCCTTGTCTTGACCCATGAGCTTCTAGTTGGGTTTGTCCTCATCCCAGTGTGTGTGTGTGAGGGGGGGGAATGAGTGAGTGGCCATGGGGCTGGTTCTTTGTTGTCCTGTTGGGCCCAAACCAGGACATAGCTCTAGGCAATCAAAACAGCCCCTAAACATTCAGAGCCACCCCACCATCCCTCTTGCCTTGCCCATTCTGAAGAGTTTGCAGCCACCCACTGCAGCACTCCAGCTGTCCACATCCTTCCACTATGTTTCTTTGAGGACAACTCCAGCACTTTTCCTGCTGCACCATGACTGCCAGCTCCTCCTGCTTGTTGTCCATGCTGTCCATGTCGGTGTAGATGCCCTTCAGTTAGGCTAATGGTCCTGCCCCCTTTCTGAGAGGAGGAGTCCTAATTCCCACCCGATAATTCTCAGGTTCTTCAGTGGTTTCTAACCCATCAATAATACCTCCCCTAAGGCACCAGACTGAAGAACCTCACTAGCTCACAGTCCCACCAGCGCTGGTGTGCCCCGCCCCAAGCTTATCTCCAGTGAACCTGCTTTTACCTCCTGCCCCCTTCAAATCTAGTTGAAAGCTCCTGTCATGAATTACTCATCTTCTCCTCCCAGGAATCACTGACCCCAACATGGTGCAGAAACCTAGGGAGAACATTTCAGACAGATCACTGCAAAGATGCTGAGTTTAAACTGGGGAAAAAAAAAATCCCAAAGAAATTAGAGTGAGCACAAAATTGATGAAGGTCTTTGAGATGACAGAAAAATGCAGACAGAAGGCACTGCTTCATGAATGACCACAGGAGACACAACATGGGTTAAACCACTTTTAAATTGTTTATTATAAAATACATATTTACATATGAAGGCACTTTGAAACCGTAACAGAATGTTCATAGAAGCTGTTGCTTCAGCTGCCCAAAGAATCCACAAATATTTTTCCTATCATCACCTAAAAAGGTGGAAAAACCTGAACTGCAGCCAGTTGTAACACACTCATTGTTCTGATGAAAAAGCCCTACAGGGAATGACAACTACTAAGGACTTCAGGACCAGGTTTCTAGTTTTGGAGAACACTGTCACTGCTGAGCAGAGAGGGGGGCTCTGCAGATGCTGCTGAATTCAAACTAACCAAACCATCCTCACACAGTATTGCTGAGACTGACATTGTTAAGCCTGATCCTGTTTCCCATCCAGGAAGGCTGTAAATCCTCCCCTGCCCAAAGGGAAATCAAGATTCCCTATTTCCCCCTTCAAGCACCAGAGCCATTTAGAGCCTGGAGCACAAACACTGCACACTGAGGGCTGCCACAGCACTGATGAGCAGATCAAGGCATAAAGTTCTTTCTCTTGTACTTTTTAGCTCAAGATCTGAAGACATATTAAAAATTGAACAAAATGAAATGAACAGAATAACCTACATGAAACCCAGTGCCTGACATGGCCGTTTCCTCATCCCCAGCTCTCTACAGTCAAACCTTTCAGAAATAAGCACCTTTTTTAGAAAGTAAAAAAAAAAAAAAGCAAATATTGAAGTGATTAATAATTCAAAACGAAATTACAGAGCTTGTAAACTTTCTAGTCACTGCTGAGTAGGGTCCCTGCACACCTACATTGTTAAATACA